TTCTGTGATTCTGTGTGATTCTGTGAAGGCTATGATCTTGGAAGCGAGCACATCCCTCCAATGCATACCTATCTAAACACACTCTTCTCCAATGGGCAAGATGCTGTGATAGCCAACTTTTCCATATAAAACAATTACTAAATTACAACTGAACATGCAAACTAATGTTTCTCCTTGAAATCTGTTTTTCTATGAGTATTTCTAAAAATCCTGTTTATTTCACTTTTTTAACCAAACTTTCTTCTGGATCAAACCCCATCTTTCTGCTCAACTGGCAACAGATGCAAGTCGCAGCATGGCAAATTTCAATTAGACAAGATATTGGGAGAGATAATTTGACAAGAGTGGTCAAATATTAGAACAGGCTGCCCAGAGAAGTTGTGGGATGTCCATTTTTTGAGACTTGATTCATAGTCCTGAGTAACCTGATCCTGGCCCTGCCTTCAGTGGAGAATTGGGGCAGATAACCTCCATGCCAAATTATTCTGTGATTCTATGAACTAGGGATGAGGTTCATTTCATCTGACTAAAAGTATGGCTATAGGACTATCTAGATTACCCTATGGAGAAAGACAAGTAATTACAGAAGCAAATTCAACTCCACATCTTAGTCAGTTTTCTTAAGACTGGGACACTTACTTTCCATGCTTCTGTCTCCCCAAGAATTACAAGAAAAAAAGATGAGCATTTTAGACTTGATATATAACTTCTACCTAACCTCAGGTGAGATGGATTCCAGTTTGATGAACATTTTTTTTTATCAGCTGCACCTATGAGTTAATACTGAGCTTAAGGGATAAACCTAAAAGAAAGATAATGCAAAGTTTACACTAAGTCAGTACACTGACTTAACACTGCTCACGACCACATGTACCATAATCAACAGCCTCCAGATCTGGATTTCAACAGTGCATTTTCGATTTGTATAACAGAGAAGCATCTGACTTGTAGTTTCTTTTTGAAATGGAGCAATGTTTCAATTTGAAAGATCAGTCCCCAGCATGCAGGTTAGAAGAGCTCTTGTATCACACTGTATGGATAACAGATTGAGACTTTTTTTTCTTCACATATCTGCATACTTTTGCCTAGAAATTTTGATTTAGCTGAGTCAGTGTTTTTCTAAAAGCAATTCCAACAGAGGGCAGTACTCTTGGTGAACTACCCTGTTGTCATTTACAGGCATGCCCACAGGAACACAGGCACAGCGCATTCCTATATTCTACAGGAGATATCAACAGGCCTCGAGGTCACAGATTACAGAAACACTTAATAAACTCATGTAAAAGGTGATCAAAAAAGCACAGCATAGATAATGCCATGTTATGAGATTCCGCTTTCCCTCAGAAATACAAAATGATTGCAGGAAATTTGCTGGGCAAAGCTTATGAAAAATCATCCCCTATTGATGAATATAGCTACAAAGACTTGGTTACTGCTTCTGTTAAAGCAGCAAACATAAAGAAGCATAAAGAAGCAAAGTGACATGCTAAAAATTCCTACATTCATTAACTGTATTTTCCAATAACAGATTTTAAATAAGATTTGACTGAGAGTAACATGAAGAAAAAAGGGATCTTTGCAAATCTTGTGTGGTTGGGTATCCTCAAGGTAAACTCAGTTGCTGTTGTTGTGTGTTGCTTCTCTTTCATAGATAAGAACTGTATTGTCTCAGCTTTGCAACAAAAGCTGCTAATACATTTTATTAGGAAGAATGCTGCCTCATTATGTCCCATGTTTTAGTGATGAGTTATTACTGAAAAGCCTGCCTAGTGGTCATATCCACCTGAATATCTGCACTGTAGTAATTTTAATACAAGATTATAATTTTAATACAAGTTTATAGTTTAAACAATTTTATCACCAATGACTTATCATCTATTCACGAACTTGGAGCACAGGTTAGAACTCTACTCTTCCAAAGGAGAAGCTGAAGTGAGATGGATGACAAATTGAAAGTGTCCCCCTGTACACACATGAAAAGCTTGTGCCTGACCAGAGAACTTCTGAAGCAAAGCAGTTTCATCAGTAACTGCCAATTGCTTGAACTGAAAGCACTTTGCAAAAATCACCAGTTTTAATTACACTTCATGCATTTCATCCAGCCAGCTATGGCACACACAATTACAGTCCATCAGAAATTGTCATTCCTCCCTATCAGCGAATTTGGCTGGGACTTCAGGACCCTTGTCTGCAAGTCAGCCTAGGTAGAGGACAGCCCCAGCAATCTGACATTTCCTCAGGTTTCTCAAGCCCAAGGCAATTCTGTCTCCTCTTCCACATCCTCAGGTTACATCTAGCCTGCTGAATTTCTGCCCCCTTGAGATGAATATGGGCCTGGGATTACTAACAGCCTCCAGTTGCACAGGTCCACCGGAGGTCTGAAAGAACCTTTCACAATTTGCAGGATTTGGTTAATTGTAATTGCTATACCTTATTTCATATAGGTGAGTACAGTATACAAAACCAAATCAAAAGGACTGCCATGTTTGTTACTTGACCTTTCCCTTCTTGTCAGCATATTCATGAAACCTGTTTTCATGCAAAAAAGCAATGTATTTGTTTATTTTCCTAACTATATATGTCTCCTTGATATTTTCCTAAGTTAACTGATATCAACAAAACTAATGCAGCTTCATCAAAGACATCTTCCCTCTGTATATGGGCTAATATTGCCTTCAATTAGCACAAAAATGTGTCCTAAGCTATGATAACAAATTTGTATGGCTAAAGGTGAACATATTATACAATACACAGAGTTATATGTGAAAAGATAAATTAAAATATTGTATACTGCCTTCGACACTGCAAATGCTTTATTCCCCTCTCAGTCACTGTCATTCCCTCCCCCACTGTTCACTAATTTCTGGTTTACCAAACGACCATTGCAAAATTTACAGTGAAGGGAACAGAACCCAGCCCCTCCTGTATGAAAGTGGGAGCGGATCTCTAATTGCATACAATGATCTTGAGTTTATGTTCAGTTTTGTTAAGGTGCAGGGATGAGAAGAAGCTGTTAGACTTTGTTAAATGTGGAAAATTCAACAGAGTTTCTTTAACTTACAGATTTGATGTCAAGTTTCTATGGGCTTAAAGTGTAATGCTATGGAGAAGGTCCTGAAACAGATGCAATGCAGCTGGAATCAAATGAAGAGTGAAAGCTGGCAAAAAGTATCACAGGTTAGATAACTCTTCCTGCAGCAATACCCTTTGCAAAGAAGGAACTGCCACAAAGGAGAGAATTTCCCAACAAAGGAACCCTGTGTGGTTTAAAGCAATCATTTATTTCTGTCTCAAAGATTAACCTAAAGCTCCAACAATAACCTTATTTGTTTTACTTGAAAATAAGTGAAAACAGTCACCAGTACTTCCACCTTCAGGATCCTGGCTGTTTGCCTCGACTCACCCGTTTATGAAGACGCTCTGCTTCCTCCTGATACGCAGCAAGTTGTTGTTTCCATTGTTTTACGTTGGCAGTGGACTCCAGCAGGGCTGCTGTGAGCTTAGCGTTGTTACCCTTGAGCGTCGCCAGTTCTGCCTCCCAATGCTTGCTGATTGTCGAACTGCACAGACAGAATGAGAACGGTCAGAGCCCCCACATCTCTTACTTTTATTTTTTCTTAAAATGTCTTTTTTTTTCTTTCCAAAATATCCACGAGAAATAGAATTATGCAAAAAAATGTCCAAATGAGAATCTAAACACTCAAATCATGAAAATTATAAATTCAGAAAATACATATACATCATTATTGGAAAACAACCTCTACCCTACCAGTTCAACAGGATATTTTCTTTTAATAAGATATTAAGGATTATGAAATCCACATCAGCTTCCCAAAAGCAACAGCATGTAATTCTAGAATACATATACGATTAGTCACTATTTTAATACATACTTATTGAGTGAAAGTGCTTTTTAAGTCTACTCCTTTATGAAATATATTGTAGAAAAGGATTAGTCAACAACTTGATTCAAGAGAGCTAATGTAGTGCCTTGGAACTACGGCTTAGTTGTCTTAATGCAAGCCTTCTATTGCTGAAATACAGTTTCTTTATGAAATACCGTATTTAATTTGTACTTGCAAAGTCAAAGACCTTGAAATTCAATACCATCATACTATCACTACACCTTTCCACAGCAGTATCAGCAAACATACTAAAGATCAAGGAACATAGATATATTATTGCTTTACTGCAAAGAGGAAGCCAATGTTGGGGTTTACTGAAGTAGCTTATGGAGGAACAATCTTTGTCTACAATTTAGCTATTCTCTGAGCAAAAACAGAGGTTTAATTTTCAGAGGTAATTAGTTTGCTGTCATCCACAGACCCTATCTTTGCACTAAGTATGCAACGGAGAAACATCTCAGAGACATCAGGTGAATATATTGTATGCACATAGCTCATTAATGTTTACTTGTATAATGCTAACAGCATGTGAGGTGCACACCTACATGGAAAATACTTACAAAAAATAATATAATTCTGTGTAAATAGCTTACTATTAAATGCATCATTGAAAACCAAAGATCTGTAGCTCTGGCCAAAATGATTCTGTGGTACAGGTTTGTAATGAATTCTGAGGAATTATTATAATCTAATTATTTATTATAATAAGTATATTTTAATACAACTAATTTAATTATAAATCACTACTATTTTTCATGTAAGTGCATGGGTTTATTTGAACTTTTTACATATGAACAACAAAACTTTCTGCCACCATTCTGTCCATGGAGTTTCTTTTTTCCACTTTAAGCATATACACAGCACATCCCACCAAAGCGTATTTCACAAACATTATGACTCCTATAAATGTTCCTTAGGTGTTCAAAATCAACCAGCCACTAAAGAACATTCATTACCAACTCAGATCACATGTACTGTTTCACTTAAACATGATGTCTGATTCTTCCATGCTCCAGCATTTCCTTCCAAATATGCTGCTTTATCCCTTTGAATAGCAATACAAGTTCCTTTAGAAGAGGAATATTGGTTCTTTCAAATTGCTGTAGCATTTCATGATCTATTCAACTAATTAGAAGTTCACCACTGGAAATTTTAAATCTTAGGTTACTGAACTAAAATAATGATAATCCTACTTCATCAGGGAATGCTGACTCACCTAATAAAGAAGATGAAAACAAATTTCTTTAACAATTTCTACTCTTCTGTTTCTCTAAGTAGATTTACTTTTCAATTATAGTAGCAGGGCAGATGAACAAGTTCTGTAAAAAACATGCCTAAAAATCTAGTTCATTAACACAATCATAACTCCTCTTTGATGTTCTCATCTGGCAAACAAATATCCATTCCGGCCATTTCATGCAACTGAGTAATTTCATTTAGTAATCCTTCTACATCAGGAATAGTAGCTGATTGTGTGTGTGACACCTACATGTTTGCCAAATATGCCTTACTACTCATCATTCCCCACAGAAGAAACATACACAGAAGATTTCATACTGATGTAACACAGCAGATTAAAAGCTTTGCATCTGGGACACTTACAGGATGAGAACTGTTTGATCACTTAATATCCTAATTAAATATGCAGACAGGGAAGAGAATGGAGTTCTTTTTTAGTGTACTATTACCCACGAAACAAGGTAAACTTCTAAGCCATGAAGATCCAGAAAGCAGACTCTCAGTGCCAAGTAATAATGTGAGAGGAATTTGTGGCGTGTTTCACCTTCACCTTTGTCCAGTGCCTTTATTACCCAGCCAAGAAAACAGTCAGGAGCTCTTAAGTTATTGCTTGTATACTGGAATTTCAGCATTAACTATGAAGCATGTATTTTCTATTACTGCTATAGATATCCTGGTTCAAAAGCTAGATTTATTTGGACCTTTAATTTAAAATTGGTTGATTTCAATAGGAATACACCAGTATTATTTTCAATCATACTTCTTATTTCTAAAAGGTCTACATAGTGGGCATGAACATGTAACACAGATCTAAAGGTGTGATTTTTTTGTTTCATAAAATCATAATTTGATTAAAATAGCCCATAACCAATCCTGGCAGTATTGACTTATTTTTTTCCAGTACTTTCTTAACAAACCAAAAAAGAAAAAAAAAAGAAAATTAAAAATATGCTTTGTGGATTATTTTGATTACAACTGGATTTATTTGGATTAATTATTTTAGATCCAGATAAAAGCACCTACCACAGGCTGTGCTTAAGCAAGACTAAAAGTATCTGCACTGGTGTCTACAATTGTAGAGCTACATTGGTTCAAATTTATGAACATTTCCAGACGAAACGCTGAGAATCACACAGTTCAGACACAATGAGAATTCTTTCATGGAAGAGAAGATGCTGGGGCTAATGCCCAGGAGAGGGAACACAGATCCAGAAGCTGAAGGACACAGAAGACAAAAATCAAAGGGCTCCCAACAACTGCCAGAGCCCCTGGCCAGAATTTTGATGGTGAAACAGCTGCACTACAATCCCTCAGGACAGGTATGGGAGTGCTGCACATACTCTTTCTCTCTAAAACCTTTTACTTAATTTTTCTTTGAAAGGATTTTTGGTAAAAGGAATTGATTTTGCCCTCAATGAATTTGATTCTATCATAGGAAATACACACACACCTCTGCCAGGTTGTCTAAACAGTTGTAAATATCTAAACCAAACCCTAATCATTCCACATATGTTCTGAGATTATTCGCTCTCAGAAGCACATGAAATACAAACACGTATTCAGTGATCAAAGAGATACAACCTGCAATGCAATTTCTACCACATCACCTTTCAGTTTTGCACTGTGGTGCGAACAGCAAAGCTGTATGTATACACTGGGGGACAGAAGCATATATGTTTGCAGTCCTCTGGTGCAAGAATTCAACCTGCATAGGTTTTTTGTTTTATTCTGAATGCCATCCATCCCTTCGCTGGCTGTGGCACAATTTTAACAGTTATTTCTACAAACCTGTCAGAATTAACATCACTGAACACCTGGCACACACAAAGTTTCAAGATGGTCCTTCAAATAAAGAGACAACCTTAACAATCTTACTTGTTCCCTGTTTCTTAGTATGAAAAGGTCCAGCAAACTTTTTTTAAAAGACTGAACAGAGAATAAAGCCTCATAATTTCCTTTGTGAAACTTCTGAATATCTGAAAATATAGAGTTTTGCACACATCACTACATTAGTGCCAAGTACAAGAGGGAGAACTGGCCTCTAACGGAGAGTTTTATTCACTCAACTGACCATGTTATACAAAACAAACTGTTTCATAACAGAGGTTTAGGTCTGATTGCACAGAAAATAATCTTTACAATAGCAGCTGTTCACGGGATCAGAAGCACTTGTTAGAGACCAAAAGGTCAAAACTCTCCCGAATCTCCAGACATCAGTGCCAGCCATGGTATCTGGCATGTGTGTAATATCAGACACGTCCACTGCATGGTGCTCCACTGTCAAGGCAAAAGATTCAAATTCAGGTATTTAACATCTGTGGCATCCAGCAATTTGATCACTACCACAAAACACTTCTAGAACAGCTGCTGGCTGGTATCATACAGCCTAACACCTCCTGAAAATTAAGGTAGGAGTCAATGATATTCCAAGCTTTTAGGTATTCTGACCAATTAACATCAGGTTGATCCCTTTCTCACTGGGGATTAGTTACAACCCCAGTAAGTCACTGAGGAAGAGCTTTGCTATTTGTCCATCTGTGACCTGAATAGAGTGCCAGAGGCTATAAGTGCATGATTATCTTTCTCTGCAAAGTAGGTCACTTAAGGAAAATTAATCCGAAAAGCTCCAGTCACCATGTTTAGCCCGTTGGAGAAGACTTGCAAAGGCAGGGGGCAGGGAGCACACATTAATGAGTTGCATTCATAATGAAGCTATTATGAGAGATGCCTTCACGAAACAAAGAAACAAAAGCAGTTCAAATGAAGAGATGTTTTCTGCTTTTTGAATCAGCATTGCTTATTTATTGCTTGCTGAGTTGTATTCAGTACCAATACTATAAAACATGGTTTAAGCTTTATTTTACATTTATAGAAATAAAATGTGTGCAGAATTCTGCTTTATTAATAATTTATGGTTTTTAATATTGGATTCATTGCATAAATTGAATTAATTAAAAAATGTGATTTCTTACTGTAGCGTAGTCATGGTTACAAAGAACTACAGTTATTCAAGAGCGTGTAATTTCTTCAGGTGTCACTGTGATCTGCATGACAGGTTTGTGGTGAACAGTGCTGCCTTGGGATACCAGAAATGAGAAGGAATTCATCTAAGTAGAGAATGGAGTGCTATCACTACAAAATTTGGCATCTGGTATAGCAACTAAATCCGTAAGACCTGACAAATACAAATGGAGCAGAGTCCCTGTAGCTGCTGCCCAGATTATAAACAGTGGCACGCATTGGAAGAATCCCAAGAGTCTGGTGGAGTGAGTGTTAGCAATCAGCAGGAGAGATACGCCAACCAGCTGGTAACAACACAGCTGAGCTGGCAGCAAGTGGTGATCCTTTCTGACAGCCTTGCCGATGAGCCTTATGGAGCAGCAATTCATGCTTAAGGAAGCAAAGGGGGATTGTGA